TGTGCTATATGAATAATCAATTTTCCTAAAGACAAAAGAAACATCGTGACAAATCTTTTATATTTGGAAGAAAAAATTTAAGAATATTCCCTTCTCTAACCAACTGCGCAACATTTCTTACCAATAGTTGAAATAACAATGAAACCAAAACGGATTTTTACCAGTACAATAAAAAAACAAGAAAGATTAACATCAGTACAGTAAAAAAAACCCATAAAACAACAACAAATGCTATATTGTTTCATACTGCATAAACTCGTAAGGTGTTTATTCATATGGACCGGCCTCCCAGTGGCACAGCGGTATGTCTGCAGACTTACAGCGCTAGAAACCGGGTTTCGATACTCGTGGTGGGTAGAGTACAGATAGCCCATTGTGTAGCTTTGTGCTTAACCACAAACAAACAATTTATATGGACCAATTTAATATTTATGTTATAAGAATAATTTAGAAACACTCACATCCGCTAAGTCATTTCCTTTAAATTGATGATAAACATTTCTCCAAATATTATTCCAAGGTTCTCCGTTTAGGAAATTTCTTTATTGAGGTACTGGAAGACATTATACATATTTTCTTAATCTATGAATTGTTTCACACTGATATTTTCTATCTTTGTAACTTTATTATGTATATAAACTGTTAGAATTTTCCTACTCTGAGGAACTGTCGTTTCAGCATAAATTATCCAAGGCTCAGGGATAGCGTGACCTAAGTTGCTATAATCCTGGAGAAATGTCCCACATTGATTAACATGATTAAGAAGTTAATGCTCTTCCACAATGATGTTAGGCCTGAAAAGTCTCGGAATGAACTGACAGAATAAACCAGGAAAGCACGCAAATCTAGCTTCCACCAAAATAATAATAAAAATTTCTCTCCATTTCGGTTCACGATACAAGAAACCAAAAATATGAATTCATTAAAAAACCTTCAAATCGACATTTCTCGTTCTTTAGTCAATATTGTTCAAGCTTGGAATATTTCCTAAAAATACAAAAGGTGGAATTGATAATAACATCTCAGTGTTTGACACTGAGAGAGAGAGTGAAATCTGCCTTCAAACCAGCATACTTGCTGTGCAAATACATACGTTAAATAGTACAATTACCAGCTATAATGGGTTGCAATTAACTAGTAAGTCGAAACGCAATACGTTTAAGTTTAACATCCACCATAGTGAAACCTCCAGTTTTAATATGAAGTAAAACACGGTAAGTAAAAACTTCCAGTTTTAATATAAAGTAAAACATGGTAAGTAGGCTTATGCACACCATTGCCGCAAACGAACTTTTTGATATTTTGAATGAACTCGTTTTCTTACGATGTGACGGATATCAGAAAACAGAAGCTACTAAGGAGGTCAAACGATATATTCCCTTTTCAAAGAGATTTTGCTACATCTACAAAAATATGAAATTAGTTTATGTAGATTAACTCGGTCACTTCAAGTTAAAATCTGAGATCACAATTGTTACTTCTTCGATTAACAGCAAATATTCATCAAACTAAAGAGCAAAGACTTTCTAACTTGACGATTGGCGTATGAATAATGTGGGACTAAATGTAACCATTTTCATATCGAGAAGACTATTCTTGAACATTGTCATATTTCTGAGTACAACAAGGAAATACGAACCACATGCCGGTATACGAACACTTACAGGTAACTACATAATGACTGCATATACTGTATCTTGGAAAGAAGAAAAACTATCTTGAAAGAAAAATATTGAAATCTTTTGTTTGTTTCGGATATTCGCGCAATACGACACAAGGAATCTCTGCGTTAGCCGTCCCTAGTTTTGAACTGCTATACTATACAGTTTGTCTGTTGTTAAGCTGTTCACCACGGGTATCAAAACCTCGTTTTTAGCGTTATAAGCCTTCCGACTTACCTCTAAGCTACGTGGGGGTGGCAGACTAGATGAAAAGAAGCTAATTAATAGCACTCGCTGCCAAAATTCTTGGGATACTCAAATCGAATTATGGGATTTGTTCGTATTTCTTATAATGCAAACGTGATTTCAATGTGCGGAATGTGCTCCCATGGCAACGGAACGTGAGTCAGAAACCTATGAATTTGCAGTCCAGCCCGCTAAAATTCTGTGTCACGCCCGGACCTCATGCGGACACTGAGTCACGTCTTAGTGAAATAATATTTAAACCATAACCGCTTAGAAATTAACAGGGCAGTACAATCAAATAAATAACATTATTATCTATTACAGAATTAATACAGTGATAAATAGCTAAAAACAATGGCTTAATAAGTTCAACTGTACTATCAGATGGAACCTCGTCACGTGAATGAGATGATTAATAACTGTCTTGTTTGTTTGATTGTTGTTAAGCACAAAGCTACATAAGGGACTATCTGTGCTGTGTCCACCACCAATATCAAAACCCGATTTTTTACGTTATAAGTCCCCAGTCTTACTATTGATCACCCCCCTCCCAGTGGTTTAATGGTAAAGTTGAAGGCTTATAACGCCGGAAAGTGGGCTTTGATACCCGTGGTGGGCACAGCACAAATAGCCCACGGTGTAGCTTTGCGCTAACAACAAAAAACAAACTTACCGCTGAGCTACTGAGTGGCTTGTAAAACGGTACCCCGTATCTTTAATATGGTACGTTAGTCAATATTTGGTTGTATATATAATCAACGCAGATTATACAAATAATAAAGTTGCTTAATATATATATATGTATTTATTAGACATATGTCGATACCCTATTCTACACTGTAGAGGTCATCGTCCTTTTCTGTTATTGCCGAATGGTGTGTGATATATCACAAATATATTATAATTATCCTCTGTCGTATTAATTAACAATTAAGATTTTTTGCCATTCACGGCATTATTTTCAGGTTAGGCCATTATAATGTGATATAATTAGTCCCTTGATAAAAATGATACAGCGAAACGTCGAAAATAAAAAAATATTTGATTTGGTGATTAGTCGGGTTTATTGAAAATTCCAAATATTTGCTACAACTCTTCACTTTACGACCCGCGAGAAATGAAGAGATCTAATAAACGCTACTATTGGAAAACAGAGTACAATATCCACAAACTTGTGGTATCTTACCAAGAAACAAGAAATGAAGAGATCTAATAAACGCTACTTTGGAAAACAGAGTACAATATCCACAAACTTGTGGTATCTTACCAAGAAACAAGAAATGAAGAGATCTAATAAACGCTACTATTGGAAAACAGAGTAGAAAATCCACAAACTTGTGGTATCTTACCAAGAAATGTAGAAAGCAGTGGCGTTTCTTGAAATTTTCAAGGGTAAATAACATTGGAACAGGAACTTCCTTATCCTGTAAAAAAAAACATGAAAAATACATTTCATAAACCATCGTTTGGCGAAATTCAAGGTCCTCTCTGTATAAGACTCTACAACGGTGTATTTGCTGATTACTAATCAGTATAATTTCAAAGGGGTATCTTAACTAAGAAAATGGAGTGTATCATTATCATTTAAGTTATAATCTGGTTGTGTAAAACTGGGGATATATTTGTTTCCCGAAGGAACATGCCAAGAGCGTGTGTTCAAGAGATTTTTTTTTTTGGGGGGGGGGGGGGGATGTTTTTCTCTTGTTTTGTTTTGTTCGATCGACAAACTGGATGTATTTTCTTGTATTCTCCCCACCACACCCCCTTAATACGCGTTCATATACACTAAATAAAAGAGGCCGAGCAAGCCAGTCATTTGAAGAACGACGAAGTAACGTTAAAGTTGTCAATATCTTCTAAACGACGGGTGCTAAAAAGTGACCACCTTCACGTGACGTTGTACAGGTTCTGTTCAAAAATAAAGAGGAAACGAGGTGCTTAATACTGACTTGATTTATTTCAAGACAAAAATCTCGAACAAAGAATATTTTAGACACAGTTAGATAGCCAGAAACCAGGACTTACGAATATCTTCTTGGAGGAGATAGCGATTACGACTGTGTTGTGTGTTTTGCGTGTTTCGAATCCTATGCGTGGAATGGGATCTAGTGTTCTTACTACTCAGAGTTAATTTGGAAGATGTACAACTAAACATACAAGAAAATGTAGTGTATCATTTAAGTTATGATCTGATTGTGAAAAATTGGGGAAATCGTTGTTTTCCTAAGGAACTGACTCATTGGTACGCTGTAATAATCCTACACATTATATCTCAAAAGACAAATGAATAAGTGTATCTATTCTACTGATTGTTATAGGGAAGTTTTAAAGGTATAAAAATATTTGGTTGATTGTTGAGCACAAAACTATACGGGCCCGGCGTGGCCAAGTGGTTAAGGCGCTCTACTCACAATTTAAGGGTCCCGGGTTCGAATCCCCGTTCCACCAAACATTATTACTTCTTCTTCGCCCATACATCTCATTATTCCGCTGACCATTAATTGAAATTTAACCTTATGCCACGAGCAGGGTGAAGGAGGATTGTTTAATCTTCTAGCACCATTGATTAGTAATTATTTCTTAGGAGATAATTATTTTTAAATCAAAATAACTGCCAAGAACAACACAAGCAAACCATCGTTTGTTGCTGAGTACTAATCAGTAGTCTGCGGACTTACAACGCTAGAAACCGGGTTTCGATACCCGTGGTGGGCAGAGCACAGATAGCCCATTGTGTAGCTTTGTGCATAAATTCAAACAAAAAAAACTAATCAATATAATGGAGTGTACCATTTAAGTTATGATTACGATTGTGTTGTGTATTTCGCGGGAAATAGTTGTTTCCCCTAGGAACTAACTCAACAGTTTTTATGTCATTTACCTTCTTTGTGCTGCAGAACTAAATGTTAATGTCCTTGAAATACGTTTTTTCTGTTTTTTTAGTAGAGTGTACGCGTACTAATTATACATTGAAAGAGATGCCAAGACAAGCTATGTTTTAATAATTCAAGTTTGAAACAGACCTGCACCTCCATAACAAAGATCAGAGACCTTGAAACGACTTAAAAATCCACGTCTGATGAGGTAAGAACTACTTCGGTCGGTGAACAGAACGACCATATGTTGACTTTATAAGGAAAGGTGGAACGGCGTGTGTAGGCGTAGCGCTATAAAACCGTCTTCAGGAATTCTACCTCCATCCCAGACACGGCCGTATCGTAGAGCAAACCTGCTCTGTCGCTGCTTGTTTAACCAGAGATCCACTACGAACCTTGAATTCCAAGCAACATTGTGAAGTCTGGGTTGCTATAAATTATCTAAAGGTCATTGTTACAATTTAAGTTTCTCTGTAAATCACCATGAAAACTTTATTTTTGGTAAGTTAACTTTTCATAATTACTAATTACCTTGAATTTGTCTCTTCACTTGTTCGAGTCACTTTGAATGTTTTCGTTATTAAATTAACTGCGTACTGAGGGTGGATACGAGATATAATGATGTTTTAAACAATATTATAAAGTTTCGGTCATATAAATTAGAAGATTGAGCGTGGTTGTTTTTTTCTCTTTCGTCGACTTGGAAGGATATTTATTCTTGTTTAATTATGTACAAAAATAGGAAAATAATAGCGCATGAAATATTTATAATAAAGAGTTCGTTTCGAAAATTAGTGTACTAAGCTCCGGAAAGAGAGTTTCGCAGAAACAAGGACTTTATAAACATTTTATTACAGCATAGAGTAATTATTTCTCGAGAAAGATTTATAACATTATTTTGAAATATGAAGAGAAAGCTCAAAGAAAGGTCAAGAAGCTTTTTAATATATATATATTTGTAGCATTTTTAAAATAAAATAAAAAAGGCAAATAATATGTTTTCTCTAAAACGTACGCGTGACACTACTTTTAAACTGCATATATATGCCATATAACTGCATATATATTTTAAATGGTTATGCTCAGGACCTGTAAACAAATGAGAAAGAGGTTTGTTAGCCATTTTGTCTCTAGATGGCAGCAGCAACAAGTTGCCGTGACTGGTGTATAGTTTGTAATTAAGCACAAAGCTACACAATGGGCTATCTGTACTCTGCCCACCACGGGTGTCGAAACCCGGATTCTAGCGTTGTAAGTCCGCATACATACCGCTGTGCTACTGGGGGGGGGGGCTGACTGGTGTAAGTTTAGTTTTCGAACCTAAAGTGAAAATATGTGAATACTTTCTCATCTTTATTTTACTTGTTAATATAACATTTATGAACTTACTAGGTCAAAATGGAAGTTTATTTCCTTTTTTCTTAAAGTATATACAAATTCAGATGTCAAATTTGCAAAGAAATAAGGGGAAAAAGCAACGTACCCTTCCAAAAAATAAATAGATTAGTTTTATTTATTAGATGCAATTTTATTCTTTATTTGTTTGTAATTGTTTGTAATTAGGCCCAAAGCTACACAATGGGCTATCTGTGCTCTGCCCACCACGAGTATCGAAACCCGGATTCTAGCGTTTTAAGTCCGCAGACATTCCGCTGTGCCATTGGGGGGAGGCTTTTATTCTTTATGGTTATGTTGAATGTTGGCAACTATATTTACCCCATGGAATATGCTCTGAGGCATAATAAAGTCCCCCAAAGTGTACAATGATGTAGAAACACCATTGTGATGATGAAAATATATAAACTTCAGAAATCGTATGGATTATGAAACCTGATGTATAAAAATTCGAAGAACATTTTAATAAATTATAAGTGTTACCGACGCTGTACACGTATCTAGAAACTCGAAATCTTTGATTAAAAAATATTTAATAGAGATAATGTACAGGAAGGAAGTAGGCCACTTATATTAGCGCCACCACGTGGAGTAAGCACTGGGTCGGACGGAGGTATTTGGTCGATATGCGTTTGGAAACAGAAATGAAAAACAGAAACTCGAGATACTATAATAATAAAGTTTGTTTATAATTAAATCCAAAGCTACACAAGGGCTATCTGTGCTCTGCCCATCACGGGTATCGAAACCCGGATTCTAGCGTTATAAGTCCGCAGACGTACCGCTGTGCCACTGGGGGGGGGGGCAATAATAAAGTACTTGTAGCATCCGAAATTAAATCTTGTTATAATGTACCATTCTCTTCTAGTCCCCCCCAACAACAACTCTTCTAGTGTGTATTCAAGATGGTTATTTTATGCATGTTATTTCTAATCACTTTGTTTCAAAAACAAAATAAAAATTCGCCATCTGTTTTATTTTAAACACGGGATAGCGTATTTTTTCAAACATGGTGTCTAATTTTCTCCCTCTCTCTTTCTCTCCTTTTTTTTGTCTAACAGCAAATATACTTATAAATTTATAATAAATAATTAAAAACAACGTTTACTATTTACACAATTAAAACTTTATTGAAGCCGTACGGCTTCCACTTTAAAACAACGCGCTATAAGCACTAGTTTCGACGGGAACTTCGTCATCTTCAGGAGTTACTTTCAAGACATGCTTAATATTTTTACCCCTTTTGGCATTGCTTCACTAATATTTACATATTTCCTTGGTCTACTTTATTTTTGATAATTAGTATAATATATGTCCAAATATATTAACATATTAACTTGCTGGTCCTTCGTCTCTATTTAATACTTCATTTTTTATTTCATTATTTCTAATGTTTCTGTAATATTTAATGCTATAACACATCGAGGTTGAGCCAAAATTCAAGTTTTTTCCCATAATATTGTATATATTGGTTAGTTTTTAATTATATATTAGAATTTTAAATATTACACAAGTGCCGGTAATTCATATGCTTATAAACTATTGTTATTATTCTATTTTACAGTTTGTCCTTTTGCTATGTGTCTGGGAGGCTACCGAAAGTAAGTCTTTAAAAGCAGCGCTTCATTCAGTTTCTGCTAGAGTGCGTCGTGAAAGTGATGACGTAACTGTTAGAGAGACACCAGGACCTAAGGATCCCTTTGCTATTTTCCACGGTGGGTCTGACACCGAGGATGAAGTGGATCCTCATGCTGATCACCGCAATTTCCTCAAGGTAGAGCCAAACGGAGTTTACTATACTGTTAGGACTGGCAGCAACCCCTCAGACAGGGATGGACCAATAGTGGCTTACTATTATAGTCCTTATGAGCTACGTCATCAGGGTGGAAAATTTTATGTAGGCAATATTCCATTTTATTTCTAAGAAGAAACAACGAACATTCTCCTGTAAATCTGATCACTTATTGTATTCAGAATGAAATACAAAAACTTGAATTTCCATATTCAGAAAACAGTGATAAAGCAATAAAATTTCTGTAAACTGTTCATAAGATTTCCTTTATTTGTGTGTGTGTGTAGGCAAAGAACCTTTGTAAACTTTTATTTTGAAAATCTGAAAATATTAGCAATAGAAGTTTTAAACTATTATTTCAAAGTGCTATTTAAAAAATAAACTCTGTGAAGTATACATATTGTAACTAAACTTTGAACTTCTGATATTTTCTCTCTGTGTGTGGCCACATTTTTTTTCAATATTTTATATTTTGGAACCCGTTTTTATAAAATGACTCATGATGAACTACTTTATAATAAATATGTAATACTTTTGGTTTTGAATTACAATATAGTTTTCCATCTAACATATAAATTATGTATAAACTATCAACGTAGATATTTATAGAGGTAAGACATTGGCAGTAACAGACACTTGTAGTTACAGTGCTGATAAACGCAACGATATAGCCCTAATATGGCGGCTTATGGTAGTAATGGTAAGGAAACTGGTAAGAGTTTGAACTGGAGATGGTAATCGTTACTTTTGGTTCAAATGTTGTTAGTTGTTGCAGAATATGTGATAGTGATGAAACGTTGAATGGGTGGTGGCTGTTACTCATATGGTTACGTTTTGAAATATATTTAGTGAAGAGGGTGCGGTGGAATGTTTGTTGTTAGTGTGGTGGTGATATAAATTATGGTAGAGGATTAAAGGTGGCAGCATTCATCACATCTGTTTAAAGGTATGGTAAATATATTTAGTGAAGAGGGTACGTGTGAATGTTTGTTGTTGGTGTGGTGGTGATATAAATTATGGTAGAGGATTAAAGGTGGCAGCATTCATCACATCTACACGAGGGCTTTCTGCGCTAGCCGTCCGTAATTTAACAGTGTAAGACTAGAGGGAAGGCAGCTAGTCATCACCACCGCCAACTCTTGGGTTACTCTTTTACCAACGAATAGTGGGATTGACCGTCACATTATAACGCCCCCACGGCTGAAAGGGCGAGCATGTTTGGTGTGACGGGGATTTGAACCCGCGACCCGCAGATGGCGAGTCAAGCGCCTTAACCACCTGGCCATGCCGGCCCTAGGAGAACGGACAAACAAGTTAGAATAACACGTGACTTGTGTTATCTATTTGTAGAATTTCACGCACAGCGACTTGAGCTCAAGTATCTACCGACAGAGCAGAATAACATTATTTTACATAAATAAATCCACCAACAAGTGCATCACATATTGAAATAGATTATTATCGTTTAGTTAACGTAGTTTCTTCAAGATTTTATTTCTAATTTTAAAATTTAGTTTTCTGGTGCTATTTCTGCGCTAAATTACATAATGGGCTAATTGCGCCAATCCTTGATTTTAGCGTTGTAAGTCCGCAAACTTACCGCTAAGTCATCAGGAGCTTTACATTTCCAATCTTAAGCACTTCCACTATATAAAGTCTCAGATGTTTAGTAGAAAGTACGGGAATTAAACAAATTATCTTTGGTTAAATTTCTTTTAAATATATTAATATTGAAGCGGGTTCGGATCCCCGTCCCACCAAACATGGTCGCCCTTTCAGCCGTGGGGGCGTTATAACGCGACGGTCAATCCCACTATTCGTTGGTAAAAGAGTAGCCCAAGAGTTGGCGGTTGGTGGTGATGACCAGCTGCCTTCCCTCTAGTCTTACACTGCTAAATTAGGGACGGCTAGCGCAGATAGCCCTCGTGTAGCTTTGCGCGAAATTCAAAAACAAACAAACAATATTGAAGCTTTTCTAGAATTATAATTTTTTTTTTTAGTTTAGAAAATATACTTTGTTCCTGCAGCGACTTTTATTTTCTTTTGAACTATTGCGAGAACAAAAATTATTTTTCGAAAATGATAAACAACAAAACGATCCTTTATTGTATATAATAATGGATATTTGGTTGCTGTGTACAGAATCATTTTATAGTTACTACCATATTTACAAAACGAAGAGAGACATTATTTGATAAATAAATATGAATTATACTTTACGACGTTTTTCTTCTTATTTAAAACTAATAGAAACTTTTGAATCTTTACCCTAAATGTTTGAATCAGCAGTACTTTCTGGCTGAGTCACTCAGAAACTAGTAAAAACTTTTCATTTCACGAAACTGTAGACGTCAAGTTCATTGTTCGGGTGTTTGTTATACATGGTTACACTTTAGGAATAGGTAAACGGCACATGTAGGTGAATAGACGTTCTGTGGTGATGATTACTATTTTTTACGTTACCGTAAGTGTGGTACCAGCCCTATAAAGTGAAAACAGTACCTCTGAGCTGCTTTAATATAGAGTGATAGTGACTTGTAAGCATATTTCTGTAAATGGAGAACAGTTGTGTTTCCAAATATTTTTGAATTCAACTTTAATAATATTTTATTTTATTCGAAATAAAATCTAAGTTTGTTCCGCTAGAGGTAGTCTCAATATTTCTCAATTTTCTGTAGACAAAATATTTAACTTTAAAACTTTCAGGGTTAATCATCTATTTAAACGTAGTATAATAGATAAAATAATTATATCATAATACAACATAACATTAATGGGCAACAAGGAACCTTTTGGTCCATCAAGGCCGTCCTATCCACTAAATTAAGCTAAGCACTAAAAACCTCAAAGCTAGCCCTTGTATTTCAAATATTTATCACGCTTTCCCTTAAACTCCCTGAGATTAAATATAGCTATCACTTCTGAAGGCAATCCGTTCCAAAGGCCAAACACACAGTTAGAAAAATAATCTGTCTGAAATGAAAATGACTCCTACTATGTCAAAATTTATGTTTGTGTTCTCTACTCTTACCATTTTCATCATTGAATAAGAAAAACGATGATGCATCAACACTATAAATTCTCTTAACAATTTTAAACACCTCAATCAGACTTTCTATTTTTTTTTCAAGAAAAAACAATTTCAGAGATCTTAACCTATCCCCATATGACAAACTTTTTATTCTAGGTATCATCCTAGTAGCCCTCCTCTGAACCCTTGCTAACAATTCTGTGTCCTTTCTAAAATAAGGAGCACGAGACTAACATAATACTCCAAATGTGGCCTAACAGATGACCTATACATTATATAACCTCTTTAGACTTGTATTCAGTACTTCTGTAGAAACAACCTAAAATCCCTTTTACGCTGCCACTAGCAACAGCCTATTGACTGGATGTTTAACAGACTGATGAAGCAGAAAACTAAGATATTTTTCTTCCATAACAATGTTAAGGATATTCCCATCACAACTATACTTAAAATTCAAATTGTGATATCCCACATGCATTACCTTCCAGTTATTGTATTTAAAAGTCATCTGCCATTTATTCCCCCAATTCATCAAACAATCCAGATCCTTTGGCAAAGCAGTAGCATCGTCCTCACAGCCAGCAACTCCCAAAACTTTAGTGCCATAAGTAGTTTAAATAATCTGTTTACCATTCTTTCATCAGTGTTATTAATATAGATCAAAAAGAGCAATGATTCTAACACTGGGCCTTGAGTTTGACTGAACTCTATTTATAACAACCTTCTGCTTTCTTCCATATAACCAATTTTCTATCCAATAAACCAAACTATCCCCCACATCTACAGAGATAACAAGCCTTTTATGTGGCACCATGTCAAATGATTTCTGAAAATCCAGATATATCGAATACACATCCGTACTCTAGTCTACATAAGCAGTGACCTCTTCAAAGAATGTCAAAATATTAGCAAGTAAAACCATGTTGACTATCTAACAAAATCTTAAGCTTTATTAAATGACTTTGCAAAGCATCTTTTATCAAACTTCCAAAAACTTTTCCCACCACTGATGTAAGACTAATACGTCTATAACTACTGTGACAATTTTCATCATTTCCCTTGAAAAGAGGAGTAACATTAGCCAACTTCCAATCTGCACCATACTCACTATTCAAGGACTTACATAAACAATTAGTAGAAGTGAATCATGTATTCAATCCTTAACCTCTTTCAAAAACCTTGGGTAATTATTATCTGGCTCAGGCTGCTTTATCATTCTTTAAACTTTCAAATATTTTCTTAACAAGGTCAGAATTAATGTGATCGTCTTGTTCGATTTTGTTTCCATCTAGCAACTGTTCAGAATGAGAAATATTGCTTAAATATGCATTAGTAAAAACTGAAGAAAAAGTAGAATTGAGTAACCCAGCAATCCCTTAATATCCCTAGATATTAGCCTTCCTGTATCATCAAAATCTTATATATTTATTCCTTGTCTCCATCTGCAGGAAAATTAAAATCTAATTGAACAACAATCACTTACACACAAATGTTCTCCAGTCGTTACCTTATCAACCACTTCTTTATTAGAAGTTAAAAATAAATCTAAAATTTAATTGAACAACAATCACTTACACCAAAATGTTCCCCAGTCGTTACCTTATCAACCACTTCTTTATTAGAAGTTAAAAATAAATCTAAAATTTAATTGAACAACAATCACTTACACCAAAATGTTCCCCAGTCGTTACCTTATCAACCACTTCTTTATTAGAAGTTAAAAATAAATCTAAAATTTAATTGAACAACAATTACTTACACACAAATGTTCCCCAGTCGTTACCTTATCAACCAC